GCAAGAGTTTGCGACCGGGGTCATGTCTAACAAGACCGTTCAGACTGCAGCTGCCAACGCTGCAGCCAATGCTGCATCCAACGCTGCTCGCGGGGCCTTCAAAGCTCATCCATAAACAGATGTGGTACACGTGCTCAGTGCTCATTTAAACACACACACACACGCATATACTTAAACACACACACACACACAGAAAAAATGGAGATGCACAACTCTGGCCCTGCTGGTCCTCGGATCAAATTGATAATATTTGTGAATGTTTGCCCTGCACCGACACACTTTGCTTAAAAAGTGTGAAGCAAAATAACGGAAAAAACGATCGGAGTTGTCCATCTTCACTTTAAATCATATATCAGCGCTCCTGCATCCACCTGGTCAGCTTTTCAGTCAGGTGACTATCTGCTCACATCCCACAAAACATCCAGCAAGTGACTCAAGCGTGTGCTCCGACTGTGTGAGATTTCATCGCACACGCTTGCGCACTCCTTTACTCTCCTTGTTCGTCTGTCCCCTCGAGGTGATCCTCGGTCAGGTAAAGGTCGCAGCTCGACCATACCTTATTTCTGTGAGGGTGATGACCCCGAAACAGCTTCCTGCCTGATAAATGAAAAGTGATCTGACCGTGGTGTTTTGCACATAGTTTGGTTTTCTTGCCCGTATACTGAAAGTGGCTGGGCCTCTGTGCGAATGTCTGCTTCACTCCAAGAAAATTGTGGCTCTGATTTCTTTCTTTCTTTCTTCTTTTTTTTTTTTAATATAATCCAGTGCTCCGTCATTAAGCTCTGAAAGGTAAATGGTACCTTGTCCTATATCTGTGCTTTTGTTGTGAGACAAGTACCATTCTTGTTATAGTAAAAGACAAAACAAACAAAAAAAAAAATCACAAGAATAGGAAAATGTCTGTATGTTCTTATATAAGGACCTGCCCCCCCCCAAACAACACCTGCCAGGTGAGCCATTTTTTTTCCTGCTCTGTGTGCTACTTTGATTGACAACGTGGGCTGGGTCAGCATCTCTAGATTTGACAGCATGATAGCGGCATGCATGTTTAGCACACCCAAGGTAGCTAAGTCTTTGGCAAAGTCATTCTTCCCACTTCCTTTTGGTCCCAGCTACAAGGAGCTGGTTTTCGGTGAATGTCTGCCTACTTATTCTCCCTCGGTTTTGCTGTGAGGGCTGTTTGCATGTCTCGGTGGCTGCCTGACAGAAGATGACGGTTAAGAGAAGAAAATTGGAGGGAAAAGGGGAATGAAAATTGAATATTAGCTTTTTTTTCCCCCTTATGTGTGTATTAACGCAAAAACTGTGTGGCCCTCGGTTGTTTTTGTAGCTCCTCATACTCGAAAACTAACGCTGCTATGAATCTCAGAGGCGCTCAGTCGTGGCCTCCCGCTGTCGTGTTTCCTATTGAAAAGGATGCGTACCATTCATAGGGATCAGACCTGCCTTTTCTCACAGAAGAATCACTGTCCACAGTTCTGGATAAAGTGATAAAGCTATCATTTTTCCTGAGATTAACCTGCATACATAAACTTGTAAAAAAAACATTGACACCGTGTATATGTACACTACATAGGCTAACACTCCATTTTTGTTTTCCTCGGTCAGTAGTGAATTACTGGCATTTGAAGTTTTATAGCCAAAATAAGCATTAATATAACAGAAGATTGGACTTGGGGTGCCGTCACTATGATACACTAATTTATCTACAATAATAACAGTGTTATCCAGCACCAAGTTGTACAGACTACTGTCACTGATGTGAAATATGGATGTGGGTTTCTTTATTTTTTTTCTTTGTGCTTTAGCACCTCTCATGATGTTGGTGAGTGTGTGAAGATGTGCATGGCAGAAGACGGGTGATAACTGGCACTACTGTTATTAAAAATGTATAGCCTGAACTTTATCGTGGACGAAATGCTGTCAGTGTTAGCTAGCTGAGGCTCGGTAATTTGTCCTGAAAGAATAAGCCTAGATCTCTGCAGTATTCTTTTGATTTGGACGTAATTTCATCGAAATTCATTGCACATTTCTTGTTTTATGTTGAACGTAGCGCAAGAGAAAAATGTTTTTATTTATGGTGTAATTTAAACTGTTTGCATTTTGTTTCCTTTTTGGTTTGTGTGGGTTTTTTTTAATGACACTGTCATAGCATCAGCTAGATTTAAAGTTTTTTTTTTAAAAGTGTTTAATGACTTTGCAACTTGACCTTGCGAGAGGTGTGCTTGTCGTACGAGGATGTGTGTTTATGGTCGGTATGAAAGAGGAAAAGAAATAAAATAAGCTCCCTCAAGTGTTATTCTATGTCCTGAAAAGCTGTGAGAAATCTACCAAATGTCCATACAGATTTGTTTTCAAATCTCAGTTTGTGGTGTGATCCCTTTCCATGTTTTACTTTGAGGTATTCTTTTTCCTTACATAAACCCACATGAGTCCCATCTATCTATAGTTTCAAACAGTTGTTTTACAAAGCCATGCTGCAGTGGGTAATTTCTTGATGTATTTGATGAGCTGGTCAGCAGTACAGAACAATGTGTTTGAAGTTTGCCAACACAAAACTGTGTTTTGGACCTGTGACTATGTTATTTCACTGAATCAGAGAAAAAGAAAAAAAAACTCATCCAGAAAGGGACACTTGTATATTTTGTAAAGTTGAAAAATCGATCCCCATTATCAAATCACGTGTAAAAAGAAGTAATGCACTCTTGTCTGGCCTTTGTCGCATGTGAAATAGTTTGAGTTTTGTATATTTATGGTATTAACATGAAATAAAATTTCAAAGAAATAATTGTGGATTTGTTATATAATTACAAATTTATCCTCTTGCCGTGATTTAAAAAAAAAAAAAAAAACAACATTAAGAATGACCATGGAGAAGGGTATCTGCTCAAATTCAAACTGTGTCAAAATGAGGAAGGAAAGGTGGTCTCGGAATTTCAGAAACTGCCGTTTTACTGGGAATTTTCCACACAACAATCTATGGTTTACAGAGGATGAACTGAAAGAGAAAAATCGGTGAGCCGTAGTTCTCTAGGCAAAGATTGTGCTGATGCATGCAGAGGTCAGTGGAGAATTATTCAGCTTGAAGCAGTGTGACCAAAGGCAACAGTAACTCTCACATCTTGGTTGTAACTGCTTGTTATAATGAACCAAAGTATGCAGAAGATAATCTCTGAGCATACAACGCATTAAACCTTGAAGCAGATGTGCTACAGATGTCACTCAGCTAACTAAAACTTGCTCTACCATTTGCAAGATGGTAGGCTCATTCTCATGACAATTTTTTTTTTATTCATACATCCATTCATTTATTTATTTTACTGGTCATGTTTGAATACAAATTACTATTTTTTGGTGGCATACTAAACAAAAAGTTTAAGAACCACTTAGACTCCGAAGCCCGTGACACAGTTTGCAGGGTATCATACATACATGCTTAGAGATGAAAAGATTCACGAGATTTTCAAAAGTTAAACAAATGGATTTAATATAAAATTTAAAAATTGCCAGTAAACAAAAAAAAAAAACCAAACAAAAAACAACCAACTTGTTAATCATCTCATATCACTTCAGATTTACCTCACAAGCCTCTTAACACTGTTATGAGCTAATGTCCACCGTCCGTCTCCAGGGGTCAGTGTTTCATCAGGAAGTCTTGGCACAGTAGAAACAGAGTTTACACATTTCTAACACAGAGTAAAGAAGTCCTGCTTTATTTAAGCACGGGTTCTCTGTCCTCAGATATATCACCCTCTCATACACGAAGCCTCATACAGTGTTCCACTTATACTCTTTTGTTAATGTAACAAAAATAGCAGACAGTATATATTTAATCACAGTCATACTATGTGTTTGGATGTAAATCCATATCACAAGTTCACTTTCATTCTGCCTACTTGCTCTCAGAAAACAACACTAATGGAATTATTGCACATCTACAATGAATAAAAGCACTGCATCACATGAATCCTAACATATACAGAAACATTTAAATGGATGAATTAGAAATTAATATAATATGCAGCAATGTGAAATGATTTAAAGGCAGAGTGCAAAATAAAATAGGTTCCAATTGGAAAACCATCAAACTGCGATGGAGGTTCACTTTAATCAGCTTTGCAAAAGTGTCCAAATCACTCACGAGTGGGAATGAAGTGTAATGACCCAGTGGGAGGTTTTTTCAATCCTTATCTTTTGGGCACCTTCACAAAGCCAGACTTGTGTTTATGGCTTTCTGCATGTCATACGGTATTTCATGATAAACCACCTGCTTCATCTTGCTGCTTTAGCCCGTCACGAAGCCACACACAATGAAACATCTGGCAGAGCTCTGTTTTCTTTTGTTTGTTTCTGCATACGCACACACAAACTGTTATTAAGCTACACAATCAGTTAAACAGGAGGAGCTCCCTTTGAAACTAAAAATCCCTTCTGTGGTGATTTTCAACTTAAAGCGTTTAAAAAGAGTCTCAATGTCCTGCTACCACAGAATCAGAGCACATAGGCATTTAAGAAACCTCAAGTTAATGTCTATCACCAGAAGTGGCAAAAGTACAGATTTTCTTTACTCAAGCATTATTATTAATAAAATATTTGTACAAGAACGTTGCTGGGTGTTTGAGTTGTTGAATCTGGTAGTGGTTAGTGATCGAACCCTATGAATGAACATAATGATGGTTAAAACAAATAAACTGGCTTTCTGGCCGTGTTTAACATGTTAAATCTAAAAACCTATTCACTGCCAATCCAATTTATTTCACTAACCTCCTGCTATTCCAGCAAAAAAATAAAAAAATAAAAAAAACGTATAAGTATATAAGTTTTCCTCCTTCTCCAGCTTTACCAGAGATTTTTAAACTGAAGTTCTAAAAGGGGGGAAGCATTTCATTCCCTTTTCAACTGCTCATCAGGTAGTCTCCATCGCAAGAGAGTAACTTATTTTGAATGCAAAAGTTTAGTTAAAAACTCGGGGGGGGGGGGGGGGGGCGGGGGGGGGGGGGGGGGGGGTATTAAGGCCGTTTACAACAATCAGCTGATTTTATCCAGACTATCACGAGGGGGGAAGAAAATCCCCACTGAGAAACATCTGTCCTCCCTCCACGAAGTTGTAGTCCACATCAGAGAAATTACACCGTGGGTGATCCTTCTGCAGCTTCCCAGGTTTTCTAAAGGCTCAGAGCAGGCAGATCAGACTTTTCCCATCCTCAATCTCCTCCTGAACTTTATCGCTGGAAGTAGCGATCTCGGCCTGTGCAGACAGAACGGCACACAGGAAGGTTGCTAGCGTTCCTCCTATCGCTGTGTAGAACGCCCAGCCAAGTGAACAATTAAATGGTCGAAACGGCAACGCATCGGAGCCACAGTAGAACTTCACCTTCTCTGAACCCCAACCAGCAGGGTACAGCATGAGGCCGACCATCAGTAACAGGCCTGGAGGAAGAGCAGGTGATGATATGAGGGGTTTAGTCATGTCAGAGCTGAAGGTTTGAACAAATCGCAGTGCAGGTGGGAGAATAGTGAGTCAACTTTGCTAAAGACAACACCAATTTTTCAGCTGACGAGCTGATTTGTAATGGGTGGAGAGAACTCCTTTGACCCTCATCCTCAGTGGTGATATCACGTAATTACAGACTACCTACTCAATAGAGCTGGGCAGTCAAACCCGCCTGTGTGATTCATTGCAAAATATACAGTGGTAAGATTAATAAACTTGGGAAAGTATGATGAACATCAGATGTTGTAAAGTCAGATGTTGTAACTTGCCAACACAAAAGCAGTACTGACATTCCTTACAGACTATGGCATGATTTCAAAACTGAGCTCGAACAGCCTTGCTTGCACAGACTTGATGTGATAGACGCTATACTGGCATATTAGCAATAACTCTGGAGCAAGTGATATGCAGCTCCTCAGTTTCTTGAATTTGACCATGATTCAGCACTGCTATTCTTGAAATCAGCTCCTGTAACATACAACATCTAGTATTAATGGTGAATGAACCCAGTAGATTCATGGCAATGAAAAAAGAAAAAAAAACAAAAAACTTATATTCATGTATTTGTTGTATGTTTGTAGCCTCATGGCAAGTCAGCTATGATAAGTTCAAGCCCACTGAAACCCTAAATTCAATTTGCAGGCTTGTTTTTTTTCTAAGAGTAAATATACGGAAACTCAGAAACTTTGTGTCTGGACTCAAAAATGAATCTGTCTTGGTTGAGACTGGTCTTTTTAATAAATCCTTCTGTTTATAATGTTTCTATTTTACTACTTTATTTGACACCTGACTGTGTTATAGTATATTAATTGTTTATTTTTATTGCCATTTGCTGGATTGAGGTATGATTTCTGCCACCTATCCAACAACTATTCTTCATCTTCATCTTTCACGGGCGGTCGTTGCTCAAGAGTTGGCAGTTTGCCTTGTAATCGGAAGGTTGCCGGTTCGAGCCCCAGCTCCAGTGGTCAGAGGGCCTGGTGGTGCCAGTGTCCAGCAGCCTCGCCCCTGGGGCCCCCCAGGGCAGCTGTGGCTACAATGTAGCTTGCCATCACCAGTGTGTGAATGTGTGCGTGAATGTGTGGATGACTGACTGTGTAAAGTGTTTTGGGATCCATAGGGACTGAGTAAAGCGCTATACAAACACAGACCATTTACCATCTATTTGTGTCATATTTGTATAAATCATAACGACCAATAAATATGAACACTTAAAAAAAATGTTTTTCACTGAGAAAACATAGGGAATTGTAATCCCCCCTGTATTTAAGTTTCTTTTTAAAAAAAGAAGGCTAGAAATGGCCAGCAGAGGGCGACTTACATGGTTACAAAAAGATGTCCTGATCTCACGAAACCCCTTTTATGGTGAGTTTCTGGTCCCAATTTTTAGTTTCAGTTTATTATTATTATTATTATTATTATTATTATTATTATTATTATTATTATTATTATTATTATTATTATTATTATTTAATAGAACATGATTTCAGTTTGTGTCTTTTTAAAAAAAAAAAAATTAATCTATATTTATTTTCATTTTGTATACTATGAGATAAAAACCTAAAAAAAACTTAGATATGTAATTTCTCAAATCAGTTTTCATTGATATTTTGTAAACAGTAGACTACATACTAGTATACTCTGGGGTGACCCCTTAATCTGTCTGGTAACTGGTTTTACTCCAGCAACTTTATTATATATGCCCTTTCATACTATAATTTATTTATGTCATAAAATAAAAAACATTTCAATTTAGTGGAAGCTGTCCTCAGAGCATAGTTTACATATATATGAAGGTGGGAGGGGGCACATGATTACTTTCTGTAACAAAGATACTTAACACATACATACAGATTAACAATTTACCTGCAACAGCCTGAAGCAGTCCACAGATGTTGAATATGCTCTTCTTCAGGATGCTCTGAAAACACAGGCTGAAGATGGAGATAAAGGCCACACACCCAAGCACTAATGTCCCTGCTGCCAGAAACAACATGGCAGCCTGCCAGAAGCCGCTGGCCACTTCTCCAAATGTCGTGGCGTAAGGCCCACAGTTCACCTGCGAGGTCCCAATACGAAGGCAGCGGTTGTAAAGGCCGAGAGATGGCCGGTACTCTGAGTCCACTCCTGCCCTGGTCCCGCTGGTGTCATTCCGAGGCGATCCCAGCAACCAATCCGGGCTCATGAATGCAATGAGCTCAGCAAAGGCCACTACAATGCTGAGTAGGGTCCACAGCATGGAACGGCATGTTACAATAACATGGCACATGGCTTTAGCTCAGAGAAGGTAAAAAAACAATGATGAAAAACTTAATAAAAATTCTTGAAGCCCTTTAAGCTATTGGAGAGTTTCAGTTCCCTTCCTTAGAAAGAGAAAGGTCTGTAAGGTTCCCTGCGCAGATCCAGATGGGCTGCTGATCTTATCCTCTCAGAGCAGATGTTGTCCCTTCTCTCACCTCTTCTTTGCCTTCTTCCTCTTTGAGGTAATGTTTGGCTTCAGACATCCCAAATGGCAACAACGCACCAAATCAGCTTCCTTTAGTCATGATACCACCTGAACAGCAAGCCTAAATGAACAGAGACAGACTGAAGTCAGCAACACAACAAGGACAGGGTGTAAGAAACATCTACAAATGATTCTCCAGCAACTATGAATCATCACGCTCCTCCTTAGGCTTTCCAGATGACAAACAGTGTCCAATTTGTACCCTCTGTCATCAAACATTCATCCTTACCAAAAACCTACTCCCAAAGCGCTACTTTAAAGTCACAAACAGCTTGTTATGAGTGTGTAATAAGGCAAACTTCCCAGTGTGTGCTAGAACAGTCATGATGAATCACAATGCAGAGTTTATTCTGTCCTCGTTTTACTCATGGTAGACATCTGGCTGGTTGATTTTATCTGCAATGGGATAGAAACTGTGTGTTTTGCCACTAAGCAGGTGTTAGCGCAGAGCAGTACAAAACTCTGTTACAGCATGCCACATTTGACAGAATCAAACAAAAGCCACTTTCAGTATTCACTAAAGTGGGTGGCTCCACATTTTTGATTTGGTAGATTTTATTTTTGGCCAGATGCCTTTCCTGATGCAACCCCCGAGGAATTTGTGTCTCCTCCTGGAATCAAACCATTAAGCTTTCACTTGGGAAATGTGTAAACCACTACACTATGGAACCACTGATAGGATCACACAATATAATGTGCCATATCCTCGCCGCTGTCACAGGCAGACACAACATCAATGGGATCCTTCAGTTCACTGCTTAAATTACAGCCTGAATAAATGAATGTACATCAGCATTAGTTACTGGCTTTCATTAAGCTTAGCAAAGCAAAATGCATTTCTTTGTTCTTTATTCAACAGAAATAAAATCTGTATTAGTGCAATGGCCAGAAGTCCCAACAATCAATGGCACTGTTGCTGCATTATGATTTACTTGCTGTGACCAGATTGGCCTCGACGCATCCTTGGTCTTAGGGGAGCAATGAAGTTTCTTGGAAACCCTCTGATGTCATGAACCAGCTGCATGATACATACAGAAAAATATGCAGGATGTGTTATCTTCACTATCTTTGCAGATCTCACTGGTAGATCCAAGGGAAACCTGTGTCTGTGCATTCCCCCAGACAATATTTAAAGATTTTGTAAAAAATAAACTAAACTAACTAAACCTTCATTCATTTTCTAGTTCTGCAAAAGCAAAGAACTAAAAAAAATTCATGTCTTTTGTACAAAGGGAGTGGGAGATATTTCAGAGATCTCAAAATCTGGAACCATAAAACCAAACGAATATTTTTGGCACAGCTTGGCACCACTGGAGTTAAGACAGAAGGGGTTCTCCCGTCTGTATCAGTTATGAGAAACCATTAGTCAGGCACTTTATAGAGCCATAACTTTCACATAGAAGGGAGGAGAGGCTTGTTTAACTAATAGGAGTCAATGTTATTGCTCTAATTCTTGCTGAATGTGTCATTTTGCCAGTGATGAAAAGTTCAGCACAAAAAAAATTAATTAAGAGCTATAAGTCACTCTGGTGACCTGCCAGGAATACTCCAAGTACAGCACCAGGAATCACATAATCAACCATCCAGCCTCAATTAAAGGCGATAAATCATTACACCACATCTGTCACGATCCAAGTCATTTCAAGGCAAAACACTTCAGGAATTTCCAGACCAAGTATTATCTGTTACCCCTACACCGAATCACGTGAAGTCAGGATTAACCAGATCATAACAACAAAGTCGAAGCATGACGACATTTGAGTAGCAGGTATGAGATTTGGAACGGTTAAGCCGTGATTCAGTTCAGGGGGATTCAGTCATGTCTGCAGTCCCCTGTTGTGTTTGAAAGTCATGGCAGGATGTGTTTGTAGTTTGTGCACAAGTCTGCTTTGATTTTACTTGGACGGTGAAGCCGTCTTAAAGATTCCTAGTTAAATCTCATCTCGTCTGCTTGCGCTTGAGCAGAATTTTAGTGCTTCAGGACACTTGAACTTTATTCTCTTACTACTATCTCACACACTAATTAGAGATCACACAAAATTCCAGCTAAAGTACACTGTCTACAAATAATTACCCAGAGGGAGGTTAAACAGAGGGAGTGCATTTCAATTACAACTGGGCTGAGTAGAGATGAAGAAGATCCGCCAACATCACTGGTCGTTTTCAGCCCCATAAGGAAATGGCAGAAATAAACAGGAAGCAAACAGGAGGCATCAGTGTCTGTGCAAACGTTTTAGAGATTCACTCATGCATTGTGAGGATGACCTGTCAAACTACCCATCTAAACACAGTGTGTCTGAATGAGCTGTGAATCCGAATTTCAGGGAATTGTAGCTGTAAAGAAAAGACCGAGAACAATATAAGCAGGTATTTGAAGTGTGTTTATGTGTTTGAGGATGGTTTAGGGAGTGCCCTATTCTATTACAGTCCTTGAGATTGTTCCAGGCCTCTTCACACACACACACAATGGCTCCTTATTGTTATCACCGTTTCCATTTGGCAGTCATATCACACAACAGCACTCACCGCACAGGCAACTTTTTAGCTCTATTTATAGAAATCATTACAATACAGAAATGATGTTTTTAAGTGCGTGTGCATTGTGAGAAAATCAATGTGTGTTAATGTGGCTCTTTCAAGCGCACATAACCATGTGCGTACATTTGTTTGCATGAGCTTTTGTTTTTGGCTACACAGTCTACACTTTTAGTTCCTCTGGAGTTTGAGCCGTCTGTTTGCAGCTGATTATAACCCATCCAGCCTGAGCATGGTGCTCTCTGTTAAGACTACAATGCCCACAAATTAGCAGTTCTGTACAGAGATGGAGCCTACAAAACATACCTCGTCGAGGCAGTCAGCAGGCACCGTGTGATCTCTCTCAGCTACTACAGGAAACCTCTTCACTCACAGCTCGTCTTCCGCTCTCTAGTCTCAAAGAGTGCTGTCAGAATTAAGCCTTAAAAAGTTAATGTTACACTTTTATTAGGCCCAAGTATTTTGAAGTATTATCTATGCTTGTATTTAACTCAAAAATGTAGAGAGCATACAAATTAATCTGCAAGAAACTTTTGCAGTAACTCATTAGTACCAATTTGTTGATAGGCATTTGCCTGAGACTGTGGATGTATGCATGTATATATATGCACATTCTGTGCATAAGAGTGCTTACTGCAGTATTGTTGAGAGAGCATAAAGGTCACTACATCCTGAAATTGATGAATACTTTCCGCTTGTTTGGTGGTTGTTCTGGGAAAGCGCTTGAACAGCACTTCCTCAGCAAGGTCAAGATTTTCTGTGTGTTTATATGAGCACTGGGGAGGAGTATTTTACACTTAACGGCACATCAGACACTCAGAAATATGACTTATTCATAACCCGGTGATCAAGGCGCTGTGGGTGAGAGGCCTTTGCTTCCCTGTTGCTTTTGATAGATACATATCTTGAAACAGGCAGATCTTTGTTACTGCAGTTCTCTCTGTGCTTGTGGAGTCGCTCTCATATGCATCATCCCCAACACCGACAGACCGTGGAGACTCTTTCATGAATCCTCCCTGATGCAGAGTTTGATGTTACGGTAGATATGCAACAGGATGAAAGATGTTCAGCGGTAATGTGGTTCTGGATCTGATCTCGACCTGCTTTATCCCACGCTGCTCTCCTGTCCTGACACAAACCAAGCCTGCTGCACAGCATTACAAGCATGTAGAGAGGGCCCCGAGCCAACTTACACACAGCCTTCTAATACTTCATTCAACAAGCCAACATGAACAGTCTCCTTGCTGCTACGAGACAAACTTTCTCTCATGGAATTTACAAAAAATGCAGTCTGTGGGCCAACAGCCAGCCATGTGGACCACAGGTTAGACATGAAACCTGTTGTTCAAGCAGTTTGTATGCCCAGTAAAGTTTCTACTAATGAAACGAAATGTCCGTTTGACTCCAAGCCCCAGATAAAGCAGCAGATACATATGTGGGTCAGTCAGCTAGCCGTTAGAGGAAGCCGCTGAGGAGTTAATTGGTCTGAGATATCAGCAACAGTGCTGGTATCATGCCAAGGTGCTGAGGTAATGAGTGCAGGCCACTGTAGTCTGTTCTGAAGGGTGAAAAGTGAATGAGGACTGAAGGTGGGTGGTTAAGAGATCTAAAGCATGCTGACCCAGATTATTTGGTAAAGGGAGGATAGACACAGCCATTAAAATGGGAAACAAAGTCCATTCATTGAAGATGTGAGAGACAATGAAAATGCTATTGTTTTTCTGTGATGAGCCTGTTTAGAAAAGCATGTTTGAGTTGGTAGATCAGCCGCCAATAGCAGATGATTTCCCCCCCCC